TTTTCATGAGAAAAGTTTTTTCATCTGTCATGATTTTTTACTGTTACTGTTCAGCTGCCTATAGTCCTCTTACTGATCATCATAAGAACAACTGCACAAATGTTTCTAGAACAGGGACTTTTGATCTTTTAGATCGGACACCATAAATATGATCATGTGAGGGGCCACCATCCTAAAATTTTAAGAGCCATCTGTCGTTTATAAACCATGGAGCCCCATCACATGTGGCTGTAATCATTGTCCCCAGACCCCAGTTTGGAAACCCCTGACCTTAAACTGATGCCTGTGTAAAACTGTGTTTCAGTGATTTGATGAAGATCACACATGTACAGCAGGTGGAAGCAGCTACAGCGGAGGAGAGGCTTCTGAACATGGACTTCATGAAGAATAAATCCAGAGATCTCACTTGCAGGAATAAGATTGCACAGGTTTGTGTCACCTTTTTTATTTAAAGGGGTGATGAACTGATAAATCAAATTTTCCTTGAGCTTTTGACATCTAAGAGATCATCATATTATAAGAATATCCTGTAAGTTTCAGAACTGAAAGTGTCCTTGTTAGTCCAATAAAAGCTTTTATGGACACCAGGCTCAGCAAATGACTCGTTTTTAAAAGTGGGGAACTATGACGTCAAAGAGGATAAAACACCACCCCCGCAGAAGAAGAAATCAACACCTACTTCTACACGGCCGGTTTAGCCCCGCCACCGATTCGTGCATTACACGCATAGCTAAATAACAGATGCCTCGAAATAACAGATCGAGCTACCGAGTAATACAAAATATTGTGCAGTGCCTGGTTGTGGAAGAAGACAGTCGCTGCATAAGCTTCCTCTGGATTTCAATAGGAATGCAAAACTATTTTTAATGACGTTCCAGCTGATGAGGGTAAAACATTGTCGTCTGTTCGCTTCATTTCACTGAGGATTGTTTTATAAACAAGACTGGATTTGCAGACCAATTATGAGTAAAGAACGGTGCTGTGCCGTCTATATTGGATCTGACAGGAATTGTTTAACACACGGACTCTGGGTCGAACATGTATGGGTGTATCCGGTTGCCATTTTTACAACATTGGACGTTTTCCCCCACGTACACTGACGGGTGAGTTAAACTCATTATAATATGCAAAACTGTTCTCCACTCGCAGCAGTGGGCGTTTACTTCCAAGTCTTCAGTGCGACACGCCCATAAAAACCGACCGTTTTTCAGGAAAGCTCACAACTTGGGTACAAAATAGCCTATTACTTATTCATTTTGATGTTTTTGAATGCAAAAACCAAGCGAACGTCTTAAAGGGTTAGTTTACCCAAAAATGAAAATTCTGTTGGTATTTACTCACCCTCATGTTGTTCCAACCCCGTAAGACCTTCGTTCATCTTCGGAACACAAATTAAGATATTTAAGATATTAAGATCGCTCCTGCATACAGTCCATAGGCTTCTTGAGGGACTGGCTCTTGCTGTCCCCAAAAAGTCATTAAAGACATCGTTAAAATAGTCCAAGTGACTACAGGGGCTCAATCTTAAGTTTATCACTTTATCACAAAAATTAACACTTTTGTGCGCAAAAAAACAACAAAAATAACGACTTTATTTCAACTATTCGTTTATTTCTCCCTCTGCGCGAGGCAGGTTACTAGTTTAATAGTGTAAGCTTCTGTTATTGTACGTCACACGCATCACACACACATGACCAGCGTCGGCCAATAGTGAGCCTACGTGTGACGTAGCTTTACGCTATCACACTACGTTAACTGACTACAGGCCCATGGAGAAGGAAGTGAATGGTTGAAATAAAGTCGTTATTTTTGTTGTTTTTTTGCGCACAAAAGTGTTCTCGTCATTTGATAAACTTAAGATTGAGCCACTGTAGTCACTTGGACTATTTTAACGATGTCTTTAATGACTTTTTGGGGACAGCAAGAGCCAGTCCCTCAAGAAGCCTACGGACTGTATGCAGGAGCGATCTTAATATCTTAAATATCTTAATTTGTGTTCCGAAGATGAACGAAGGTCTTACGGGGTTGGAACAACATGAGGGTGAGTAAATACCGACAGAATTTTCATTTTTGGGTGAACTAACCCTTTAAGTTGACCTCAGACAACAATATAATAAAATTTAAAAAGCCAGTTCATGACCCCTTTAACACTGTATCCGAGCATCACTTCATACGGTTTTATGTCTGTCATGCGGCCTTATTCAAACAGAATCTGTGTGTTTCTGACAGGAAAAGCTGGACTCGCGGCAGATGGACGATTCTTTAACCCATCAGGCCATCCTGCAGTTATCAGAGGTAAACTACCCTACTAATGTACCAGATCACCAAAGATGTTTTAAAGGGGGGGTTGATTGCGATTTCACTTTTTTTCATTTTAAATAGTGTGTAATGTTGCTGTTGGTGCATGAACAGTATCTGCAAAGTTTCAGCGCTGAATGTTCAGTGTAAGCAGAGATATTGTCTTTTAAAAATCAGGAAGTTGAATGCCTACAAAAACGACTCGAATGGGATTAAAGCGGGTTTTATACATAACTAACCCATTTGCATCAAACCTCCCTCTGGAATATGCAAAAAGGTCATGGCCATATTTCCACGGCTCGTCGAAAGTGTGTTATTTTCACGCAGCTGTCGGGTCTTCTGTGTTCGAGCTTCTCACAGAAGTTGTAGTTCGTCTACAATGGATACAATTTATGTTTGATTATGTTCCTGAAAATGACGATTGTAATTTAGCTCTCTGTGCTGCACATTTTACGAAAGACAGCTTCCAGAAATCTCCACGAATTCAACAAGAAACTGTTACTAAAACATGAAGCACTTCCAACTTTAAAACCAGAGGCAGCCTGCCTGGTTAAAACTAGACCATTCTCAGTTGTAACTGAGTTATGGTCTGGCAAAGTGTCATAGACAAATCATTTCCAGAGGCGTCACCAACGGACATCGCGGGTAGACCTAAAACCAATCAGAGCGATGAAGGAGATGACATATGCAGAGCGGCGGCCGGTGGAGAAACATCTTCGAGTGTTGTTCTTTGCTCGGTTTTTAACAAAAAGGAAACGTTCAGATCAGATCGCTTAAAACAGATGCGATAGCTGATTCGAGCGAGTGATGTTCGACAGCGGCGTCCATCTTTGTAATGTAGGGTACAAAATCTGCTTCAAAATCCCAGCGCTGTTGTCATGCCATCTGAGGACTCGGTTACTTTGCTTTATTTCCAGATTCAGTTATAGGCTCGTTCTTGCATACTAGAGCTTGTACGCACATGCGCTCTTTTTGAAAACAACACTTTAAATCTCTTGACAAACTAAAAGATGTAAATGAAATTTGTACGTATTCTAAATAAAAGATACAGGTTGTACTAAATATCAGCTTGCTTATTTGGCTGAAGATAAGGATTTATTGAGTTTTTCAGGGTCAAACAGCAACATTACACACTAAAGAACATGAACTTGTAAAAACGCAGAATATGTCCTCTTTAAACTGAAACAAAACTGCATCTTACAAGATGGTATAAAAGTTGTTTACTCTGATTTTTTTCTATACTTAGAAAATCGCTTCCCTGAAAGAAGAAACACTGCCTTTGAAGAAGAAACTAGAGCCGTATAGTGATTTGAGCCCTGTAAGTATATTTCTGCCAAGATTTTCCTTATTGAACATGGGAACCATCATGGCAGTGAGTTTTGCTTGAACAAGCACCAAGTGGTTTTGTTGTTTAATGTGTGGGCTAGTTATATAAATATCATTTTTGTCATGCACGGCAATTTCAATTAAGTAATCACGTCCCCATCCATATAAATAATTTCTAATTGTTTTCAAATTCTAATAATTTTGATCCTTTATCCATTTTATCAGTTTTCATTACTGTTGTACTTTATTTCCAGAGTCCAGCTCTTGCGCGGGTAAAAATCGAGGAAGCTAAACGAGAGCTGGTAATGTTTAATTCACATATATATATATATATATATATATATATATATATATATATATATATACACATACTGGAAACATTACTGCTTTTAATTTATTTGAAAGAAGTCTCTTCGGCTCATCAAGGCTGCATTTATTTGATCAAATATAGAGAAAAAAAAAATGGTTTTCTATTTTAATATACTTTAAAATGTAGTTTATTCCTGTGATCAAAGCTGAATTTTCAGCATCATTACTCCAGTCTTTTGTGTCACATGATTCTTCAGAAATCACTCTTATATGCTGGTTTATTATCAATGTTGGAAAAAGTTAGTATTTAACTGCTGCTTAATATTTTTTTTATAACCTGTGATACTTTTTTCAGGATTCTTTGATGAATAAAAAGTTAAAGAAAGAACAGCATTTATTTAAAATGAAAAATATTTTGTAACATTATACATTACCGATGGACTGTATATCGGTAATGTATATAAAGTTTTTTTTTAAGTTTTTTTTTTTTAAGAAATTGGTACTCTTATTCAGCAAAAATTCATAGTAAATATTTACCTCAACTAATCCTGAAAAAAAGTATGGCATGTAAAAAAAATTTTTTGAATTGTTTGAATTGTAATTTTGAATTTTTAAGAAGCACAACTGTTTCTAACATTGATCAGTCATCATATTAGAGTGATTTCTGAAGGATCTTGTGACACTGAAGACTGGATGATGCTGAAAATACAGATTTGATCACAGTTATACCACCAGGAATAGTAATGTTTCCAAACTTTTGACCCGAGAAAAAATTGTATATAAATATATATTTATTTATTAGTTAATTATTTTTAGGGGGGAAATGGTAATTTGAGTAACATTATTCTTTTATCTAAAGGCTGCCTTGGATGCCCAGCTGGAGCAGAAAGTGGACTTCATGAACACTTTATCTATAAATCTATAACGTATCTAATAAAACATTAAACGTGTTAATAAATGTAATAAATTTGACTTCCAACTTGTTGTATTTCTTGTAATAAACGCAATTCCTCTCCGAATCACATGGTGGTGCCGTCTGTTTTTCCCGACGTCATCGCAGCGGAAATGACGCCTACACATTTGTTCCAGCGACGGCTAGTGGGGACATTTTAAATTAGCAAACTGTGCTAAAGCGGTCGGAAAGTCGAGAACACAGCAGTTATTTTATACAAATTTCATTTTACTCCATATTTCCCCCATGAATGTGGTAGTACGAGCCTGAGATGTTACAGGGAACACACACATGAGGACACATTTGAAGCAGGTAAGCTGCTGTCGTCGGTTATTGCCGCGCTCTCCGCTCTGCGCCCTTCCATTTTGAGCGTGTGCTGACTGCAGTTTTGACTCAAACCTACTCTCACTTTAATTACTGCATGCCTTTATTCATGCATATATGTCTTTACTCAACGTGCAAATGTTATCGGTTAACGTGCAGTGGTTGAGCAACTTCCAGACTGAATGTGTTGCAGCAACATGTCGCAGGATGAGTGTTTGTGCTGCAGTGTATCCTATATTTTCATAGGTTTGACTTCTTAGTCCTCTTTCTCTGATGGTTCAAGTGCGGTATTCCGTCCGTTTGTTTCACAGTTGAATTGCATGCACTGATGTTCATGCAACTCGTCAGCTTTATTAACTGATTCTGGAAATATTTCAAAGAATCATTACTTGCAAATAAGCCCTTGTAACCCTACGGGCTGTTACGTGCGTCTTTGCGTGCGCGCAATGCGAAATGATAAGAGCGCGCGCGATATTCTTATATCATGTAGGCTAGCTATTGATTTCTGTCTGATACCGAGGTTCGCAAACAACCATGTAAGGAAACTCAAAAATTACCATGGTAACCACAGCGTTCGCCAAAACACTGCATTCGTTGCTGCTGCTTTTGTTATAAACATGGGACATCCTTCAAATGGTGTATGAAACGGTCTGTTATATTAATTTATAATATCATTTTGCAACAGGTTTTGTTGTAATTCACGTCTAATACAGAAACACGACCTGTGGCTGTCAGTGCATGTAAAACACCTGCTTGGAATAACATGTTTGGTTGTCAATAGTAAGAAAATGTCCACTTACTGCATATGCTACCACGTATATATTCAATGATGTTACCAACGGAAAATTTTGTTTTTTTTATGGCACAACCAAATATTCCAATTTAACACGTGCACGCTATATGGAGGAAAATTATTATGCATGTAAACATGAATAATTAATAGAGAAGGGGGATATCCTTTCAAAACTATGACAAGTGTCTTCTTTGTTTTATTTTGCTGCTTGATATATTTTTTTCTGCTTCGTTAAATCAAATTATCCCCGCCTCCACTCACTCACACAGCTCAGAGATCCACTCTGACGATCACTCGTTGATCTGATTGATTGCAAAGTAGTTTGTGACGTCAGAAACACCAGCGATTTTCTTTGATTTACTGCAGTTTTAAGGAGAAAATACTTAGCAATGCTGTTGACTTATACATTTGTTCATGGTTTGTCTTAAAGCATATTAAAAACAACACATACATAGACCTATAAGCTTGATTTTTACCACATTGGGGGCTTTAAATTCTTCCATCCACTGTTGTCATTTTTACTGTAAATGAAAAAATATATATATTAAATAATTTAATATTTTGTTTATAAACTATAGAATATGTGATGTATGTGTATATAAATATGTATGAATCTCTAAGTATTTCTTCTAAATGGGGTGTTTCGGTGTCAAATGTAACAGTAACTTGAGGTAAAGCTTTGCTTTTGCATGTCTGGACTGGAGAGGGTGCATTTAAAGTAGGTCTCCAGTGTTTTGTTGCACATATCATGGAAAACCTGTGAGAGAATCATAAAATGGTAATTTTCTGACCTCAACAATTCCTTGAATTAATAACATGAGTTCTGAATATTTACAAGAAAATTCTAGTTTTGGATCGATCTGAAAAATCTATTGCTAGTAAAGTGCTCTTTGTGAGGTCCGTCCCCAAAAATGATTTTTAAAATGACAAATGTGTGCAAGTCTTCATATAACACTGAACACCTTGAACGCAGCAAAAAAATTCCTTATGGACATTAAGTTTTGAAACCATTTTAAGGCTACACTGTTGTGAAATGGAGTCGGATGACATGTAGAAAGGTTGATAAGAGCTTCCCTGGTGCGTGATAGTTCAGTGTTCTGACTGGTTAAACACCTGTACCTCAGTGGTGCTTAAATAGCCAAGTCACGTTTATTTTGTACTATAAGTGTTAATGTTGCTGAATAATACATCAAATTTGAAAGAAATTCAATTTCAGCTATAAGCACTTCAGAAGATAATAGAGTCATTATTCAGCTCAAGTCAGTTCAGTGTTGATCGTGAGAAACTAAACTAACCATGTAATCAGATATTTGTCGGCTGTTTTTTTTTTTTTTTTTTTTAATACCAGTACTTTGTGTTTTTCTTACGAACAAAGTTACCAGCATTAGCACTGACAAATATTCACTCAATTAATTCAGTGTGGAGGACATAACTGATACAAACAAATTGAATACATAACTGAACAAATTTAAAAGGGATATACACAAGAGAAAGATAAACATACATGAATAATAAATAAATAATAGAACTAGCCCATATATATATAATGTCAGAGATGAATGATTTACAGGCAGAAAGTGTCTATTGAAATAAAGATAATTAAGGTCTATTTAAAAAAGGAAACCTATAAAACAAAACAAAAAGAACCTGCAGTCCCATTTGCCTTGATATACATCTTGGTATACTCTCCTATCTTATACCTTTACACTTAAGTTTTAAGAATACAAATCAAGCTGTCATGATGTGTTTGGCTCCAGTGCATAATAGTTTTAATCTTTGTTCTATTAATTAAGGCAGTGGATGGCTTCAAATGAACAATATCTATATAAAATAGATTTTGACAAAGAATTAGGAGGAAGTCGGCTGTTATTTTTGACACAACACATGCCATACTACGTGCCTGCGCACATATATTCAGATGTGCATACCTGTGGAGTGGGCTCTTAATTAGAGCCAGACTGATGTATCAGCCGACCGATATTATCGACCGATATTAGTCATTTTCCAAAATATCGGTATGATATGAATGGCCGATAAATGAATATTTCAAAAATAAAATAAAAATGGACGAAACACACTTCAATCATCTCTCCTTGGCCTGTTATATTGAAAATGTATGTTTTACAATTTGCAGTATGATGTTATCTATTGCTAAATTATTATGGCTTATCATAGACTAGCTAACCACAAAGCAGGCTAATACCACTATCATCAGTGGAAGACCGCTAACGTTAACATTAATGAGCTTGGAAACCACAATGAACTTTTTCTGCCTAAATAAAGTAATGATTACTATATGTATATCTAGCATGTCCCTGCATTGTAAAATGTAAGTTAGACTTGCGAGGAGTGAACATTTCGACATAGAGAAAAAGTATCAAACCTATCTTGTGCATAAAAGTTAGCTTTTCTTTTACACGTGTGTGAAATCCAACGACGCCAAGTGTGCGTTGCAGACTGTCGTTCTGCAATGGATTTAGAATCGCTAAATAGCAGGTTTTAGGAGGCAGGCAGCAACTGATGATTGAAAATGGTTTGATGTAGCTTGATGGAAATAATTTAAAAAGTGCAGGTAAAGGGCTAAGCAAGCTGACATTGTAATTATAAGGTAGCTTATAAGGCAATGTAGGGACTAATTATTATTTTATTTATCAGAACTTTCATATATTTTTATGTTCCTCATTCTGTTGTGACAATAAAAGAAACAAGTTTCTTTTTAAAATTCTTTATCATATCATTTTAGTTTTAAACTCATTAATAACTACAAATAACTATGTTTGGGAAATCTGTTAATGTTTTGTTGCGCGTTGCGCATTTCTGAAAAAGAAAAAGAAATATATATCGGCCGATATATCGGAATATCGGATTTTAAAACCCAAAAACATTTACATCGGTATCGGCCTTCAAAATCCTTTATCGGTCGGGCTCTACTCTTAATACGTGTGTGTGCGCCATCGGCGTTCCCACGGGTTCGTGTTTTTGATGTTTGCGTAGAGAGAACTTAAGAGTTTTCTGTGAAAATTAAGTCGTGTTAGCGGCCCCTAAGTTAATAACTAATAATTGTTGCAACAGGAGTGTATCAATCAAAACTTTAGCTGGAAAATAACTTTATTCTAGAGCTGCTGTAAAGCCAAAACAATCTCTGTTACTGTAATTTCCTATTTATCACTGTAAAGCTGCTTTGGAACAATCCTTTGTTAAAAGCCATTGTGGGGTGGTGATGGCGCAGTGGATAAGACACGTGCCTTTAGACCCGGGTTCGAATCCACTGTGAGACACCAATCTGTCCCTGAGCAAGACACTTAACCCCTAGCTGCTCCAGAGGCGTGCAACCTCTGACATATATAGCAGTTGTAAGTCACTTTGGATAAAAGCGTCAGCTAAATGAATAAATGTAAATGTAAAAGTGCTATATAAATGATGACTTGACTTGACATAGTTGCTGTTTTCCAGGTCAGCCGCCCCTGTTTATCGACTAGCAACTGCCACTTCAGAGACTCCGCCCCTGGCCCCGCCCTCCAGAGATGACTGATGCCCAGAAGGCCAACGAGCTCCCTCAATGCCCCACAGAGGGCGGGGCCACAGAGGAGCAGATGCCCCTGAGACCAGAGACCACACCCACCAGCTCTCCAGCTTGTGAAGAGCCAATCAGCTCTCAGAGTCCTGACAAACAGCCAACCCCTGGCTTGCTCTCCATGCCCTGCTTGTTAAAGGAGCTTCATAGAGACTCCGCCCCCGGGCAACCGCAGGAAACGGATCCGCCCCCGACCGCGGCCCAGTCCTGCCCGCGGGAAGACAGCGATTCCTCCGTCTGCCTGCGGTCGCCCTCCTCTTCCGGTCACCTCGGAGACTCCGACACGCTTTCGTCAGCGGAGGAAAAGGCCACGCCCGCCCAGACGGCCGGAAAAAAGTCAAGACGCTCGCATTCTGAGAGCGACACGTCCACCATCGCAATGGCAGCTAAGAAGAACCGTTGCCAGGAGAAGCAGGTGAACGGACGTGTGCGTGTCAGAGGCCCGCGTAGCCAGCGGCAGAAGCTACGCATGCGACAGCTCCGGCAGAAGCGGGAGGCGGCGGCGAGACGCAAACCCGACGTGCTCCAGGACAGCAGCACCAGCGACAGCGACATCACGGCCCACTCTTCATCATCCTCGCCACTAACGGCCTCGTCCGACAACGAGGGAGAGACAATCAACTCTCACGCACCAGGTAACTGCACAGACACACACAGCATTTTGTCTAGAAGATCAGAGCAGACCGGCTGTTGTGTGTTAGATGGTAACAGCCAGTCCTGAACAAATCGATTCACTGATGCATCACGATTTCGTTAATCCACAAATATTTAATACGTTTATCTGTTATTCAACAACCAATACGAGTTATGATTAAGTGTTTGAAAACCAGTGAAGCAATTTTAATTTTACAATTTGAATAATTAAATAATCATTACCTTAAAGTAATATATGTATTGATTTATTAATATAATTAGAGATGCACCGATGCTAAAATTCTCCGCCGACACGATTTTCAATATGTCTACCGATAGTTTGATTTTCTTAGTCCCCCTGTAGTCAATTATTGAATCCCTTGAATCTCATCTTTGATCACCAAAATGACAATTAAATGTTTTTTCCCTGAAAATGCCTTAAAATAGCTTGAATGTAACTTGACACCGTTGCTTCGTTTAGTATACGCAGTTCTATGAATATGCAAATGAACCCCGCCTCCACTCACTCACACTATCAGAGATCCACTCATTGATAATCACTCATTTACCTGATTGGTTACAAGGTAGTTTGTGACGTCAGAAACACCAGCGATTTCAAAGCGAGTTTTTGAGACTGTCTGGTTTACTGTGGTTTTAGGGAGAAGAGACTAAACAATGGTGTTGACTTGTGAATTTGCACATGGTTTGTCTTAAAGCATATTAAAAACACCACATGGAAACTACATGGGGACTTTAAAGTTTACACCTCAGCTCTGAAAAAGACTTAACAATGGATGTGTAAAGCTGTGGAAATATAGCCTGGGCTTCCCCCATACTGCCTTTGCGCAGCGCGATTTTATTCACGCTGCTAGACAGTCTGGATACCATGGAGCAAATTTTTGCCTCAGCGAGGGGGCCAATCACAGACCAGGGAGGACGCAGCAAGATGATGACGACGTCTATGCGACACACCGAAGCAGTTAGACGGAAAGTTACCTTTCGATGCAGCCTTTGATGCATAAATCTCTGACCCATCGTCTCCTTCCTCGTCTAATTTCTTTCGCTCTACATGCATCATCTGGTATAATTGATACGATTGGCTATGAGCTGCATACAGGTGCATACCCAATAAACGGCTCTGGGCATTTGTAAACCACGCCTCAAATACGAGAAAATTAACATGGTTCCCAGACCACGTCTCAATGTCAATACAATGAGACATGGTCTGATGTTAGCCAGGCTGTTGGAAAAATGGGAGTGTAGAGGGTGGAAAGAGGGGAGACAACCAATAAAACAGACATTATTCAGACAAATCAATATTAAAATAACACTTCTTTTGAGCTTTTAAACACTTGAGCTACTGTAATCGGTAAACACACTTGCGCGTCTGAACGGAAAGCTGAGCAGGCAGAGGTGAACGAGCCGGGCCGAACCGGTCTTATCACATTTGACTACTGCAAAGTGATCTCATGTGTAATACAGCACTGTGATTGGATTAAAAGAGTTTTTTTTTCTCATGAACAATATGGAGAAAACTGATGATGTAAAAGCGTGCGCTCCAGTCATGGCAGCCAATCACCACTCCGGATTAACACATATACCTCACTTTTCGTGACATTAGTTCAACTTTGCTTTAATCCGGAAGAAGGAAATGGTTTATAAAAAATAATAATATAAATAATCCTTAATAATAAAATGTCCCATTAAGTAAAGGGAATCTGTCCCAACTAATGCTGTGTATGGATACAGGGACCCATCTCATATGGTATGTTACTATAATATTAGAGGTTAAATTAATTAAATGTAGTAATTAGAGTAATTATTTCAGATATAGCCTAATTACTCAAAAATGGAAATGTGTGGACAACTTAGTTGCACTAAGGTAGTTTTCATAAGCACTTGTCTTCGTAACAAATTTATTCAAGCAAACAATATATAATTAACAGTAAATAAGCTAATTTCTAGTGTTTTTTTTTTTGATAGCTAACTACCTGTGAAGTGTGAACACTAGATAACTTTCCTGAGGTAAATGCAACATTAAGTGACATACAGTTCACAAGCTCTTTCCACGATTGAAACACTGGTTAAAGCAATTACATGAGACATGATACATACATTTAATTGGCCCTGATCATCAGCAAGTTGTCCGATGGCCGAAAGTTATTGCTTTTATCGGCCGATACATCTGTGCATCCCTAATAATTAATAATAAATGTTAAAAAAAACAATAAAATGATACTTGTCTGCCTGGCCATCTCACTTAATCATATATATATACACACACAAACACACACAGTTTGTGAATGAGAGCTTATTTATTCATTTGTTAATAAATATCATATTATTAATATTATTATTATTATTATTATTAATAACTACAAACCACTTGATTTAATGGCATTTATTTATAAGTATTTATTTTACAAAATATCATTCTGTATTATTAATGATGGTTAAAAAATAAATCATTATTGATCTGACCATTTCAGTTAAAGTAAAAGAAAAACACAAACCCGAAATGGCGGTATTGCCCGATATGCTAGATGTCGATAGACTGATTACGTTTACATTACTGATTACATTTTCTTCTGTTTGTGGATGAGAGCATATGTATTATGTATGGTTTTATTCAAAATTTGTACACAGAATTTTGCAGTGAGTTCTGTAAACTCATTAAAGATTTGCAACTGTGCTGAAAATTGAGATGCATCGCGAATCGGATTGGTTTTGGAATCAGATTGTGACTTTGAATGGGAAGTGACTCGTGAGGTGCCTGAGGATTCCCAGCTCTAGTCCTGAAACGAACACCTGGAGTGAAGCCATTTTGACATCTCATTTCTTTCATGCATTGTTTGGTGCATGTTGACTGAATGACAGAATGGTTAAATATGACCACACACTGCGAAAGACTCAATCACACACACATGAAGGATCTGCACCTGTCTGGGTGTGTTTTTTGTGCATGCATGTTGAATGACCTTGTATGCAAAGCGCCAGGCGAAGAACATTTTTCCAGTATCAGAATTCAACAGCGTTCTGACCTCATGCTGACCCCTGTCATTAGTGACCAACCAGAATGACCCACTAAGTCTGGCTACTAGTCTTGAATACACAGCAGTTTCTTAGTTTGATATTCTGATGCTCCCATTTACCACTGCTGTGGACAAATGTTCAAGCACTAGATATTCAAAAGAGAAATTATGTTCAATGTCATGTTTGCAATGAGATTATAATTCAAGCATATTTATGATCAACAGTGCTGATGCATGACATTCCACCATTTGAACAAATGCAGATTAATTGGAGGGAAATTATACCAGGTATTGAATGAAAGTTTGCATTTTAGAAGATTTTCTTTGTGTCTTGTCTTTTCATCGTCTCAATATCTGTTGTTTTTTGTGTCCTATATCTGGCTCATGTGTGAATTGTCTGCAGTTTTTTCTTTTTTCCTTTCATTAACTCTTAATTTTCTGCACAGTATTTGTTAATTGGGATATTCATTTTGCCCAAAGCACTACAGGCAGGAGCAGTTGCTCATGGGGCCACCAGGGGGCGTATGCCTTTCTCTCTGGGGGCCACACTGTTGGAAAGGCAGCAGATGAAACTCAGTGAATGTTTGTTGATCCTAACTTAACTTTGATTATATTATTACCATAGCTCTCTGATTTTATTATATTAGTAGTACAGTTTGAAGGCATGTTTGTTAGCTTCCAGTGTTTCTATTTTAGCAACAAAACGCAGTTTTAGTATTATTTATACACTAATATATTATTTATTAATATTTTGAATTAGTGCTTATTTTTATATGTTCAGTTTCATTATAATTTGTTTTAATTTTGCTGTGTGCTTTTGGCATTGAAATAAATTTACTTTGCTTCAGTTAGCAAAGGCAACATGTAATTTAAGTATATTTATATACAATGTTTTATTTCAGTTGACAAACACAATTTTTTAAAGTTTAAAAACTTTAGTTAAAAACAACAATGGTTTGCAGATGCAATGTTTCAAAGCCCCCCAAAGTTACATCTCTAAGCTGTACATTTGTAACACATTCACGACCATAAAGTCCCCTTGTAGTCGCTCATTTTATCTCTTAAAACTCATCTTTGATCACCAAAATTATATTTAAATGTTTCTTCTTTGAAAAAAAGTTATTCATGCCTTAAAATAGCTTGAATGTAACTCTACTCTAGGGATGTGACAGTGAGTATATTTTCCCACCGGTTAATCAGTGTGTGTCCATGAGTGCGCAACAGAGTTTTTAAAAGCTCGCTCCGTGCCCGTGCGCATTTTAGTTTCGCTTTCAAATTAGCGCCAATTCGGGGGTGTATTGCTTGAATGGTGAGTTCATTACTAGCCTATTGTTCTTAATGAAAAACACAACAAATTTGCTTAAAAAGGCGATTTTACATTTGGCTTTGACACCAAATATTCCAACACAGTCTCATGAAAATGCGTATCTATACCACGAATGTCATTTGTCGTGGCATTTATTCACCAAAAATGTTTTTTGCGTGCATATGCTACGCACTAAAAAACCCTGGGGTAGGTTTAGGGGGGAGGGGGATTGGGAATTTGTGCGTATTATACGCCATAAAGTGCGTATCATATGCACGCGAAAAAGCGTACCATATAGAGAATAGGATCGTGACGTCAGCGGATCCCAGTAACGCAAGGCATTGTGGGATTTTAGGACACGGAGGTTGCGTGAGAAACGTCAAATCATAGTCAAATCTGCAGTATATTTTTTGTAGACATGTACTTTTGATCTATTTACTAGTTCTTTATTTATGTTTATGTGTACGGTTAAGCACCAGTATACCAAGGTAAACTCCTCGTATGTGAAAACCTGGAAATAAACCGGATTCTGATTTATTACAGAAACTAAGCTAGAACATTGCAGAAACAACAAAAACAACAGCGTTTCGCCTGGAAATTACATTTAATAAAAGTAAATAACTTAACTAAAATGTTTCCTAAGTAAAAAAGAAAACGTATTCGACGCAGAGTTTAACTTGCAGAGTTGTTGTTGTTGTTGGTGACAGAGAGGTGTGTCTGGTTCAAATGTGCATGCGCTCACACCACAAACAAGGTAAGAAAACACGTCAGGAAATGTTGTTTGCGGTAGCTTGTTCAGATCAGTCGACCACTCTTTGTGTTCGTACGGATCGAGCCCGTTAATTGCCTTTATTTTCTCTAAGCAGCGCTCCTTTGCTTCCTTGTTCAGCTTATCTCGGTAGATAACCTTGTGCTTGATCTTCGCACGGTCCGTGTGTTTGTTTACCTTAGTTACGTCAACCATGTCCTAAAAGATGGCCGCCGCTACCCAGAGTGCACTGCGCCATGACGTAGTTTCCCATTCTCTATACACGCAAAAACTGTTTTTGGCGTATAAATGGCACGAGAAATGACATTCGTGCTGTAGATACGAACTTTCATGAGATCAGGCTCAATATTTCGCCATCATCTGGTCAGTCAGCTCCTCACTCTCGTGATTAATGAAATCTGACTCCTGCTGCTGCGACTAAAGTTCATCTCACGATTTTAAGCAGACGCGTTCAGTTTTTAATTGTTGTGTCTGTTCTCTAACTGAACGAATTGATTTTATATATGTAAAAAAAAATTTGACAGTGGGTAGCGGTGCCGCGGTGGGTTACCGCTAACACCATAGCAAGCCTACTCTACACCCTTGCCGCATCTAGTATACGTGGTTCAATTAATATGCAAATGAGCCCTGCCTCCACTCACTCACACCAGCGCAGAGATCCACTCTGATGATCACTCGTTGATCTGATTGGTTGAAAGGTAGTTTGTGACTTCAGAAACACCAGTGATTTCAAACCGTGTTTTTGAGACTTTCTTTGGTTCACTGCGGTTTTAAGGAGACAATACTAAACAATGGTGTTGACTTGTGAATTTGCACATGGTTTGTCTAAAAGCATATTAAAAACACCACATAGATATACAAGCAACATTAAAAACTTGATAAACCACAAACATGATTTAATGACTCGTAAATGTAAGTACACATTGATGGCCTAAGACACATAACGAGCGATTTGTGTGAGAAAACGAACAGTATTTATATGGTTTTACCTCTTGTAACCACAGCCACGTCCAAGTGATCTGAGTGCGCGGGTGCTTCGGAAAGCGCCAGAAGTGATCTCTCGATCACCATCAATGTGTACTTACTAGGGTGGCACGGTTCACGAAACCAACGGTTCGGTTTGTATCACGGTTTTAGTGTCACGGTTTTCGGTTCTGTACGGTTCTTGTTATTTTTTTTCTTTTAATCTTTAACACTTCAGAAATGTACTTCAGCATGTGATATATAGCTTAATTATCCACACTTTAGGATACAGTATAAAAAAATTATATTCATGCAATCATGCACAAACTGAATTTGACTCTTTGACTTTAAGCACATTTTGGGACTATCTCAGAGGAAAGCTAGGTGAGATTTTGACACAGCAAGAGAGAAGAAATTGACATGCTTTTCGTTTATTTGGCAAAAAAAGGAGAACGTGTATCACTATGTCTACAAGAACTTGTGCATTTTTATCACACAAATCTTATTTACACAAAGAAATTAACTTGCATTTATGAACTGACAACTTTTGTAGCTCTTACAAAAATTCTATCTTTTAAAAGAAAAAAAGAGGAACTACACTGTCTTTTATGAATAAGTCAATATACATGAAACCTCATTGCCTATAATTAGGCTATAGAAATAGCAAAGGCCATAAACATAAAGTGAAAAGTTCAACCTCAACACAAAAAACAGTATCAACAATGCTTCTATTCCCAAAAAGTGAGGGTACCCTTTTTTCAGTTTAAATTAAAGTGCGGGGTTTGGAAACATTTGATTGAAGCTCTTATCTAAACATAAAGTGCCACTGTAACGTTATATTAAAATACCATAACATGAAATCAAAAATGTCCCCACACACCGGACTTATAGACTTATAGGACGCTGGCGCATCCTCCAACTCCCTCATCTCTCCCACTTGCCATTTCTCCGCGTGCCGTGACCTGCAGCGCTCCATACTCCACTTTTACTGGCTTGTTTACTAACTTGAACCGGCGCTGCACAGAGCGATCGGTAATGACATCAAATACTGCGAAAGTGAGTGACGGAGCCGTCGTTCCCGCTCTAGTGTGATGTTATTCACCGGTCGCTCTGTGCAGCGCCGGTCCAAGTCGAACAAGCTTATGTCGCACGAAAAGAAAACACACGTCACATACGGGCACGAGGTTACATTGCGCATGCGTCGAACCGTGAGACGCACACACGCTCCGAACCGAGACAAGCGAACCGAACGGTTCGGGTGTTTTTTCATGTACCGTGCCACCCCTAGTACTTACATTTGCAGCTGAAGTTGATTTTGTACGTCTCGCATATCAATTCCTAAGGGTGGGTTAAATTGCTGGTTTCTATCTCACTGTGTGCTCTCTAAGCCGTCTTTAATCTTATGACCATTGGTGAACTGTACTCAGAATGCACTGTGAGAGCTGCATGTCTAATTCCCAGCATGCTCGCCGGTGTGCACGCAATAACGCCGCCACTTTCTGCATTCCTGTGTGTCTGACGTCTCTCTCTCGGCACTGCCGTCTGTCTTTAAGCTGGCCATCGCCGAGCCGACGCTTCTGGAGCATCAGCGCATGGGCGGGGCCAACTTGGCATGGGCATGGCCAGTGGAAGCCTGGGCGGAGTCTTGGAGGAAGCTCTTACGCGATTCGCTGCGATGCAGAGACAGACCGAGGAGCGCTTTCGCGTGTGGATGGACAGACTGACCCGCATGCACTCAGACGATGACCTTTCGTCAAGCGAAAATCCGGAAGGGCGGAGCCACGTTAGCTCGTTCCTGCCGTCGTCGGAGTCGCAGGAAACGCTGGCGGCCTATCAAATGGCCCGACTCAGCGCCATCACGGTTCCTCCTCCTTCTCAGACTGCCGGGCTCAATGGAAACGCCGAGCCATCCGAACCTAATGTTTAAAGACGCAAAACAACTGTGCCGACTCCATTTGACCGCTGAAGTGGAGGCTTGGGACAATGCACAAACTTTCTCTACATCTCTCATTAACCCTCTACTAATTTTTCTTCATCTTCATTCAGCCTTCTACATCTCTCTTTCTCTATTAAAGCATCAGTTCACCCAAAAATTCTACATTTACTAATTCTCATGTTATTCCAAACCTATTTGGCTCTCTTGCATGGAACACAAAATGTGAATTTGAGGAATATCATGATTCTTTTCCATTTAATGAAGGTGAACAGTGTTTTTTGTCCTTCCTGGAGGTTGTCATGCTTAGTCTGCATTGACTTTTGTCAATAAAGTTTCCACTTTTGTGTTCAATGGAAATAATAGTCGTATGGGTTTGGAACGACACGAGGGTAAGTAAATTATGACAGACTTTTCTTCCTTTTTTTGGTAAACTGTTTCTTTAACTTCACCTGACCTTCTGCTATTAACATTTTCTGTTTTATATTCGCATCTCAGGGCCGCCCTCCACAGTCAGTGCCTTTGCGATCTCATGTCTTTGGGAGAGCCAGATTCTCCTTTTCACCTGGAGATTAATCATTTTAAAGAATCTTTTTTTTTCTTGCCCATAGTGTGACCGAAAGACGTTTGTTCCCATAGAGACTTCGAAAGTTTTGCCTCGACTGCCATGTGTCTTTTTGTCTTCATCTGAAACACCTGGGCTGGCGTCTCTACCAAAGAACTGTTGTTTGCATTGTGGATTGTTTTAGGTTCTTATTTAATCGCTTCTTCCAAAGCGGAATATGCATGACATAAGCTGACAATGGAGAGCTGTAATGTAATGACAGCCTATACCTTGGTTTTTGTGCTGAATACTAACCTTGGACAAACACTAATGGAGAAAGTCACACGCAATAAACGAAGTTGATTCTACTACTCGACACAATGTCTAAAGAAAGACACATTGATCACTGTTATGAATCTATTTAAGGGTGATTTTCACGAAAACATGTCACAGTCCTATTTTACCACAAATTTGCATTAAACAACGTAGCCTATATATAGAAGTATTGAGATTTGATGCATTTTGAAATTATTTTCATGACAATTACGCACATTTCCTCTGATTCTCGTTACTGAAATTAGAACCAGATGCATTGTTGCTTCTCACTATATTTTCATTACTGTAATATCCTATAATACAATAATTTTTGTTTGCATTACAACAAATACTGAAATATAAATACTTAACTAAAAAAATTTAGTAATATAACCATTTTATGTTGAACTGACAGATATTTTCTTTCATCAAAATGTACTCAATTGGTATTAAAATAATGTTACATTGCCAAAATTCTTAATATGGATAAAAATAGGTTTAATTTTACTGAAAAATATAATTTTGTTTTTTTTTTGAGTTGAAATATGAGCTGCACAAGTTCTTTTTGTGACTCGCCCATCATGTGCTTCCTACACACTAAAACACACATAGTCAATGTTTACTGTAGTGACTGACTCGCAGAGGACTTGAAAGCTGTTTGCTGTTCTGCTTTACTGTATAGAGTATCTGAAGGAGATTGTTTACGTTTTTGTGTCTTTAAGGGTAATAACCAGCTGCCTAAGTTTAGTGTCATAATGTTTTTGATGGAGGACAGAATTTCCTCCACAGAATTGCTAGAAACTAAGAAATTAGTAACCAGAGATAGATGTCTTTATTTGTTACAACTATTTTTTTCTTTATCATTGCATTATTAATACTGTCATACTACTGCCTCACCAAACGTAAAAGTGTGCCAGGAGACGTTCATTTGTGTTTTCATGTCTGTGTAACACATTGACGTGTAATATCTGCTCTGTCATTAGCTGGGAAATAAATATACAAGTATTTTACCAGCATTTCATTTGTTTTACCTGACCTTATTATCCAGTTAGTTTAGAATTAATGTCCATGTTTTGCCGTTGGTGCGTGCTATCAATTATCACGGAATCTATAATTTTACGAAAAAGGTTTTTTTTTTTTGACTAAAGAATTTATGTAAAGGCCCGTTCACACCAAAAACCATAACTATAAAGAAAACTATATTAGCGTCCACACCAGCAGACGTCATTTTTATTAGGAGCACACGCTATATGTTTATTAGAAGCACATTTCTGTTTATTAGAAGCACACGCTATAATTTTGTCGTCTGTCGCTTTAAATGCTCAAGCTCTTTAAAGCAGAATGAGTTTTGATTGGCCGTCATTGTTTTTATCGTTCATTAGCTGGAGAAAAATCGTTCTGAAATGTATTCAAACGATATTGTTCATCTGTACCGTTATAGTTTTGTTAACTGTTATTCTTTTAGATTTACAAAAAATGTGTAGAACTTTATATAATTTATCGTTGTAGTGTAGTTAATGTCCTTTGTGTGAATTGGCCTTTAGTGTTTAAAAAAAAATGAAAAAAATATATATACATAAATTAAATACAGCCCAACAAATACTTAAAATATAAATACTTTAAACAAGTCTTTTCAAAACAGAAAAATCACCCTATTTACTTGAATAAATGTATCTTTGTGATCTTTTAAAGTCCTTCAATCACACATTTTCATTGCCAAATATATACTTTCTCTCTGAAAATATGTTGCATTACGGAATAAAAAGAATTGTGAGCAGTTTTGTGTTTACTTTAAAAAGTAAGATTCACCTTTCTGCTTTTAACGCCTGTTTGCTCAATAAAATTCTACCGAGGAAATATAATTATCTGTGTTCATCAACAACATGCTACAAATGCAGTTTAAACCCAAAGCCAAAACACATTTTGCAAAACATTCAGTGTTTCACTAATTTACTATGACCAGTGTTTGGATGGAAATTTTCCACTGTAACTATTTAGATTAATAAACTTCACAGCTGAATTCTGCACATACAAATGTAGGGGTGAATCTTCTGAACAGTGTGTGTGTGTGTGATTGTGTTGCAGTGGGTCCTGCAGTGGTTGGCCACTATGATATTTCAGACACTCACTCCGAGCAGGAACAGTCGCGATCGCTCTCAGGTTCGTTTCCACCGCTACTCGGCAGTCTGACTGTACGCTCGTACACATTGGCTGCGTCTCAATTCGCATACCAATATTAGATTCATAGTATTTAAAGTATTTTAGTGTGCATCGATATGGTTTTTAGACTTAAACATGATCCCTTGCACTGCAGAAATGGGAAGTAACTACAGTAGTTTTGTTTTTAGGAATGTGATTTTTTTTTTCGTGAATCGGAAGCAAAGACAAATAATCAAATTTTTTTTTTAACAAAATAACTTATTACACAACCCTTCCATAGTCTCTTCTGCTCACCGAAGCTGCAGTTATTTGATCATAAATACAGTAAAAAGCAATATAATTAAATTAAATATTGGTTTTCTATTAAATATATAATTTATTTCAGAATAAATTAAGCAGAAAGATATTTAGCTGCATAACAGTTTCTTACATTGATCCTCAAATCTTCATATTAGAATGATTTCTGAAGGACTGAAGACTGGAGTAATGATGCTGAAAATACAACTTTGATCACAAGAATAAATAATATTTTAAAGTATATTAAAATACAAAGCCATTATTTTAAATTGTAAAAATGTTTCACAATATTAACTATTTTTCTGTATTTTTGATCAAATAAATGCAGCCTTGATAGCATAAGAAACTTTTTTTCAAAAGCATTAAAAATAGTAATGTCTCCAAATATTGGACCAGTACTGTATACATTTCAAAAGTATTCTGTGACAACATCAGAATTTTTAGTCACATGATCCTTCAGAAATCATTCTAATATGCTGATTTGCTGCTCAAGAAACATTTCTGATTATTATTGAAAACAATTGTGCTGCTTCATATTTTTATGGAAACAACATTTATTTGAAACGGAACCTTTTGAAACATTTTAAATTATCCGTACTCTCACTTTTGATCCATTTAATGCATTCTTGCTAAATCAAATTATTAATATATATATATATATATTTTTTTTTTATATCATACCCAAACTTTTGAATTGGTATTGCAAGTTCCCATTCAGGCTCTATAACAATCCTGTTTTGTCATTTAAATGTTACCTTTAAGTACTTTTAGTATGAGAATTGTGATGCAGCCATTTCCTCGTTGACTTACCTCACTTTTGTTGTGAGATGAATAAGAGTTGGCCTCAACTACAGGATATTTTGTGTTCGATTATGAAATTAAATTTATCCCTTTATCTCTGTCTGGCGCCTGATTTCTGTTGAAGGGGATTTGTGTGTTGCATCAGATTCACTCATATTTAATTAAGGATGGCAGTGAATGTTGACACAGAAGGGTATTTTAGTAGAGTTTGCTGAATGTGGTCTGTTGTGTTTCTAGGTGCCGTAGAAGCCCAGCCATCTCAGGTGAGTCTGGCGTCTACAGACAGTGAAGTGGAGATCGTTGGAGTTCAAGAGAACGCCAAGTGAGTCCATCCTCATCCAATTCATTCAGTAGTCATATAATATTAATGTTCTTATGCTAACTTAGGTAGGCAAGATTATGTACATCATATTTTAGCCCTAAATAAAAAATTGCAGTATTGTAAATTGGTTGTTTAAAGGTACATTATATAACTTTTTTTATCAAAATTTAAATGAGGTAATACATAATCAATCCTTCTTCGAAAACATGTTTTTGTCTTACCCTGATTCACTATGGTAAGCCTATTATAAGTGTTTATTTTAGATGTCAAGATGGCTTTCGCGTGAAATTGCGTACATGCGTCACTCGTAAATAGAAAAGGTTGCTCTGGCTACTTGACGTGTGTCTGATGTGTGAGTTAGTTGTAATTAGTAAATGTTTAAGCAGAGGTTAGTTGTCACAACGAGTGAGAGAGTTTGACATGAAGCCGCTAAATCTCCAACCTATGGGAATCGTCTGTTTAAAAAAAAAAAAAGACGAACAGAACTGAGGAATTTGAGATTGTAAAAGAGATGCCGGTTTTATTACTCAACTGGTCAGTAAGGTATTTTATTGAATCGATAAATTGCTACATGTTGCTCTCTAATGGCTCGTTTCCACTGAGGGGTACGGTACGGTACAGTACGGGTCGGGTCGGGTACACCATGATCAGGCTTGCGTTTCCACCGCCAACAGTACCCTTACTTGATAGGCGTGGTATGCTGGAAAGAAGCGATCAACGTCATTTTCGCGCGAAGAAAGCGACATAGTAAACAACAATGGATGACAGACAGCAGAACTTGTTCTTGCTTCGAGGCCTGTTTGTCACTAGAAATAAGCGCTGGCATTAGGCGTTTCCAAGAAGCCAACGCAAAGTCCGACTCAGGAGAATGATCCCGAGGACGCGAGTCCAGTAATTCTGCTAATGGACCAGCGCGTTCTTGAAAGCGGCACTGAGTGAGCTCGCTCTGGCTCTGCGACTCCGGTTATCTCTGTATGTTCATTTTAGGCAACAATAAAACGAAATATGTTATAAAACACCACTCTGCTTCTTTTCGATTTCATTTCAATACATTTTAAACATTCTAAAGCACATAAATGTGGTTCAGGCAACGCATAGATTATCACTGCATGTATGTAACGTTAATAACAAAACTAATTATAAAACAACCCTGCCTCTTTTCGTTTAAATTTAAAAATATTAAACATATTTCAGGCGATATCTAATGTAATGTATTGCATATCGCATTACAAATGTTGCAATAAACAACATTACAGATGATCTTGTAATAAAATAAATAAAAAATGACAAAACTATCTCTTTTTGTTGAATTTCAATTTTATCAATAATAGCCATTATAAAAGTATACGTAAAAGGTACAAAATACAGTAAAGCTTAAATAATATCAAGAAACAATTCAGTCAGTCAAATATACAAATTCAGCGCTCAAAGATAAACTTCACGTAGCCTTCTGCCAAAACTATTGGCCAGGAAACGAATTATAGATTCACGAGACCAAAGATCACCTGTTAGGTTTATACAAGACGAACTATATCTCATGTTTAACCACTACAGAGACGTCCGAGTCAGCGGTAAACATCAGGATGACTAGCCGAGGAAAGGCTGTTCCAGGCGGGAGACACGAGCGCGAGCGTCCGGTGATCGCTTGGAATGGATCTCAGTCAAATTATCAAAAATCTATAAATAAACCACAGATTTGATCTTTAAAAAACTACTTTCTCGCCTGAAAAAGTCTTAAAACTACATTTCGTGACACAATAACAGTAGAATTATATTTCAACTATATGCTTCTAATGCCCTTGTAGCACGCGCGAGTGACGATACTCTGTCCACCAATCAGCGTTCTGCAGTGAGTCTAGCTCCACCTTTTAGTACCCTTTCACAAGTGGAACGGTACGGTTCGGCTTTTTGGTACCATTCACAAGTTTTGACAGTGGAAACGCAAATAATTGCGTACCGAACCGAACTGTACCGTACCGTACCACTCAGTGGAAACGAGCCATAATGCTGCGTTCACCCCGACCCCGAATTGAGCAAGTGATTTCCATGTTAAGTCAATGTAAAGATGCGTTTACACACATCTGGAGGTCTGTGCGAGTGATTTTATTTGTTGCTTTTTGTGCATTCACGCGTTTGAAGCGAATACGCGAAAATCTGAACTTTGGCGTCTGTTCCCGCTGCGTTAACCAATCAGGCCTGCTTGCTGCTGTCACGTGGTGAAGGGATGTGATAAACGGCAGCAGGCCCGTCTGGAGTCACTCATTCAACATGGAGGAACAACTGATAATGGCAGTGAGCAGTCATACGGAGCTATGTGACACAAGTTCATATTTCTACAAAGAGAAATAGAAAGGACCTCGCTTCTCCTGTCTCCCTGGTCCCTCGCCCCCTGCTGCTGAACCCACAGGTGTGTGAAGGCAAGAGTACAAACAATATTTAAACATGTTCTGTGCACAAAACATTAGTACATTATTCACTCATATCTTTAACATTCACATAAAGTCACAAAAGTTTGTGAATTAGTCCTTTTCTCTTCAATTAGTCCTCTTCACTGTCAACATGATTTTTTCAGGTATCATCTTTCTGCCTTCTCATTGCACCGTGTTGTATTTTTTTTATTTCACAGGCCAACAGAGGAGGAGAGCCCCCTGTCTGTCGGGGAGTGGAGCAGAAGCTGATGGAGCTCCTGGGTCGACCTCCAGAAGCCTTCTGCCTTTTCTGCAGAGAATGCCGCCTCACACCAATAAAAAAATCATACAATTTAAAATGTACAAATTGGCTATGGAAAACATCACCATTGTGCTAAATTTGAAACAATTGAACCGCCCCCCTGCAGTAAGCTTTAAAACAAAACACACAAAAAAGAGGTAGCAGGCTCTGCAGGAAACGCAGGATGCCCTCCTTCCTCTTCTCCTACATGTTGTTCCCTACGGCTCCTCCAAGCAAGGTCCTTTTTATTTCTTTGTATGTAAATAGTTTGTACATATTGTACATTTTTCAGTTTATAATGTTATTTTATGTTTGGCCTCAATAAATAATTTTGTAATGTGACTATATGCCTGGTGTGGTTCTAATGCACAACAAAGCAAATCTTTTGTCACATAAAAACTTGATTTCAATATATGAGACATTTCATTTTGTATTGAATGCTATTTATTCCATATCTAAATCTAGATTATATGAAACATTATTATTCTGAATGATGTAAAGACAACCAACATACTTTAGTGTATAAGAACATAGTTTGTGTCTGGACAGTGTTGTGTGAGAAATAACATTACAGGACATGTTAGTTACTTTTGGAGACTGGCTCCATTTATCATCAAATCAAAAATAAATTGCATATTATTTTACAGTAATAACCTCAACAAAGAAATGGCTCAGAGCTATAGATTTGTTCAGGACATCAAAGAAGAAATGACATTGATTGTTCAGCTATGTTAACAATGTGACACTGAACACTTGCAGTCATTTCTGAATGAGATGAAGAAAAAATGGGATTGTTTACCCTATTATATTAATAATATGATTGTCAATTTACATTATATAATAACGTGGAAAACCTGCCATTGGAAAAAGTTAGTGACTCAGGGTCTAAACTTAATAAATGTGCATGTTGTGGTGGACCTGGCAGCCAGGAACTGGGCAGGTGCAGATAGACCAGACAGAACAAAACAACATACAAACCAATAACTTAACTTAAACAGAACATATTGACAAATATTAAATATAACAACTATTTTTAGATACTCATACTCTTTATAGGTTTGTGTGTGGCTCATAAAGTTGGCATGAGATCAAATTTGACAAATCTTTTTATATGAAATATTGTAGTGTTTATTATAAATGATTTATCGGTGCAATTCATTATTTTTTAAAAATTCACGTGCCCTTACAACCTTTAATCAAATACATTACCCTTCCCTCCCCCATCAAAGCGACCTCTCTTCTATTTCGGTCACGTGGAATGGCGAAAGGGTGCGGCCAGATCCGATGAGGGTGTGGCTATCGGTGCACAGCCTCTCAGAGAATCGCATTCAAATTGTTTGCAACGCCCAACCTCCAACGATCCAATCAATTCCCGAAGGACGAAATCACGTGATTTGTCTCTGCAAAAATCACGAGCACACGTCGCCTTTACACACTTCTCCACAACTTTAGGGTGGACCTCGATGAGGCGGCATCCTCCACTGTGAAGAGAGGATGCCAACGGCGTTCTCCACCACCAGCCGGGCTCTGGAGAGTCTGTAATTAAAGACACGCCTCTCTTGAGGAAGGGTCCGTCCAGGGAAGGGCATGTCAGCCAGGAAGACATGGGCTGGGGTGAGGTCCACTCTCTTCAGCATTAAAGTGTGAGAGGTCCCAGGTTCAGATCCCGGACGAGCCCCCATTTGTCGCGGTCAGCTCGCAAGCCCGCGACAAAGAAGGAGACAACACGTTGGATATTTCTCAATAGAATAACATTTATTAAACTAAGAATAATTAAATAAGACGGAGACGAGATGGGAAGCAAACAAACAAGGATTTCAAGACACAAACGGCACGAGGATGGAAGAGCGCCCCGTCACAGTTGAAGGAAACTGCTTTTAATTGCCGGCATCAACTCCTTAGTCAATAATGACGTCACTCGCTCTAACTCCCTCCTGCAAACCAAACAGAAAGACGCACACAATCCAAAATATGACCCATACTGGGTTCATAACACCGGGTAGAGGCTGGTCTGGACTGGAGGCAGATTCACTTTGGACAAGCGAGTGGATTCAAAATGTTCAAGCGTCCAACTAGACGTGATATTGCGCGAATTTTACGCGCCAATTCGCATTCGGTGTTAACGCAGTATGCGCAAAAAGCACAACCACGCTGAAATTTAAGCCCTGTAACATCAGCAATATTCATCCGGAGCAAATGAGTGAGTAAAGGGAGCGTTTGTGTGTAACTCGCTGTCGGAGAGATGAGCGACAGGAAAAGCGCAGTTGGTATCATGCCTCATCTATTCTGTAGAAAATTAGTATTGGGAGCGTTTCAGATATTTCTGTATCGAAAAATCTATATTTTACAACACTTCATTGGACTTACTTTATTATTTCAGATGCCTTTTTAAAAGATTACAACTGAAAAATGTATATGTCATGTATAAAATTTAACCCACCAAAGTGTCTAGTAGAAATGTCGAGCCCTGATTGAGATATTTTATTTCAGAATATTTCTAAATCTATAAATAGTCACTTAATTTTTGTTACTTTGAAATATGATATTCTTCTTACTTTTTTAATGTTTTTTGTAATGTTTTTTTCAGCGTCGTCTCACGGTTTCCTCGCGGTGGAGTGATCCAGTCGCTTTCTTCCTGGAAGCAAAGAGCTCCGCCGGCGTGGACGTCAGTCTCCGCGCAGTCAGGCTGGGTTCCTCCTCCTGAGGTGGTGGACCTCACGCTGGACGAAGACCGGCACAGATACCTGCTGTGATCACACACACACACACATACATGTTTAGATACACACTCATATACATGTGACAGGTGGGCTGAGTGACTCAAACCAAAATGAACTTTGACTGTTGAATCTAACAGCACAGAATAATGTTTTCATTAAATGAAAAACTCTTCAATCTTACTGTTCAATGCTTTCTTCTGATACACTTTGATATGCCTGATGAATTATTTGATACTGGGATTGTAATGTCAGGAAATGACACCGGGCTGGTAATGGTTGGCGAGCGCGTACTGTACCAAGTTCTCCCCTTGATAGAGTCAGGTATCAAAGCTATTGGCCTGAAATACTTATTACAATCTTAAAAATAAAATACGGGGCTTCATTAAAGAAATTAATCTACTGAATGTAAAAGGGTGAATCTCACAAAAACTGGTCGTATTTCACTTCAAAATCAAGAATATAGAATATTAGAATTCTCTGTTTTAAGATTTTTTTTTTTAATCTCAAAATAGAAGGTTTTTTTATTGTGCTATTTATTAATATGATTTTGAAAAATACTGTAATTTAAACAAATATTTGCCTTTTGATTTGTTTAGTTAACAAAGCTCTCAATTACGTTTACTGTAATACAAGAATTATTGAAAATACTGGAAGTTACAATGAACTCAAAAGCGGTAGTTTTGGGGTAAAAGTGTTTAAAAATTCTAAAAATGTTTCTAAAAATAGTTCTAAAATAGGCTTATTTTTCTTTAGGCAAAATATCATTTCTTGTTTGTTTGTTTTTTCTTTAGATTTTGAGGTGAAATAACACCTGAATGTGTTTCTCTGGGATTCAGCCAACAAATTGAATTCCTCATCAAACCTCAGTCATTTCATCGTGGCAAATCAGGGATGCCTTGCTTTCTCAGATCCTCAGATTTCAACGTCGTCTTTTGAGTCACTTTGCCCCACTGAAAAAACACCTACACTTACATGATCCTGCTGTTGGCCTCAGGAGTCGCTTGCTTGAACCACCCCAGCCACTGTTGTTGTGATGTAACTTCCTGTTAGCTGCTGAAGAGTTGTAACCACAAACCTGCTGGTCTTACTCTCACCGGAGCAAATGCCCCACTGCTCTGCGTGCGCGAGATTGTGTGTGTTCACTGTCAAACATTTGATGCTGCTGTGTGGGGAGAAGCCTTGGAGTGTGTGTTCCTCACCCGATACTGCTTTCACAATACGTTTGCGTGCGAGTGTGTGTGTTTGTGTGTATCCTGAGCATTACAGTTTTTTCAGAGCATGTTTGTTACGTCTATCTCGCATTGTCATAGAAACAGACCCTTGCTTTTATTATGCCAATGGAACTTATTCAAACACTCTACTGGTCAAAAGTTTGGAATCATTATGATTTTTTATATATATATGAAGAGTTCAGATGCAAAAGCCTCTAAATGCCATTTGAAATTTTCTTCTAAAATTATCATTTTTATCAAGCTTGTATATTTAAGTTCAGTAATTTCACTTAAATGGCAATCAAATGGCATTTAGAGGCTTTTGCATCTGAACTCTTCATATAGTCTCTTCTGCAAGTTATTTGTCTTCCATGTGAATATATGGTCAAATGTTATTTATTCCTGTATTATGATCCTTCAGAAATCATTCTTATGCTGATTTGCTGCAAGAAACATTTTGCATTATCAATGCTGTAAACAGTTTTTGCTATATAATAATTTGGTGAAAATACTCAGCATATCAGAATGATTGAAGACTGGAGTAATGATGCTGAAAATTCAGCTTTGATCACAGATATAAATTATGTTTTGCAATATATTCACATAGAAAACAATTGTTTTAAATTGTAATAATATTTCACAAAAAATATACTTGTTTTCATTTTTGATCAAATATTTCTTAAAAAATAACATAAAAAATTCTGCATGATTCCAAACTTTCGACTGGTAGTGTTTACACTTGTGAATACAATCAGTGTGTGAGGAGAAAATAATAGTAGGTTTTGTTTTCTAAAAGGGGTCTAATTTGCATATTGACTTTGTAAGCAATTTAACCACAACTTAGTTTTATATACTTGTTTCTATGGTTGCATCACGATATCCCCAACACCACTGAAACTATTTATTGATATTTGCTGTGTTTTACTTGATGTTACATATATGGATCATTTGTTCGAAAAGCAATATGAATATGCATCTCCAAAACTGCATATTAAAGGGATAGTGCGCCCTATAAATGAAAACAGTCATGTATCAACCCTCATGTCTTTGTTAAAACCATACGATTTTCTTTCTGCCTGGTAACACAAAAGTTGGTTATGCTGATCGTTTCCATAAAATAAAGCAAATCTGACAACAAAGCTGCTTAAAAGTGGTCCATATGCAGCACACAAGTCATATGGACCACTTTTATGGCACTTTTTTGGAGAATGAAAGTCTCTTTATGCTTTGTAAAAGAGCAGTGTGAACATCCTTCAAAACATCTCATTTTGTGTTCCTCAGAAGGAAGTTATGTAGGTTTAGAATAACATTAGGGTGAGTTAATGACGACAGACATACATTTATGGGTGCGCTGTTGATTTTAGTTTGAGTCTTGGCAATATATTCAGTCTGTATAACATCAAATGTTTCCTTTTGTTTCTCTTCCTCACGATTGTTACTTGTCAGACCACTGTGTGTGAGGAGCGCTCACTACCTGAATGTGAATTATTCTGCTTCTTTCTGCTTGTGTATCGACGTTTCAGTGGCAGGTTTTGAAGCCATGCTGGTGGCCATTTTGGCTCTCTAAGCCCCGCCTTAAACTGTGACCCGCCCCTCTAAGAGCTTGATTGGATCTTTACTTCTGTCAATCATGTGAGGTAAATAACTGCTTCTCGAGAAAGGGAAAATGTAGTTCCAGAGCAGGAAAACAGATAGTAGCAGAGGAATTTAAAAAGGAGAGTTCACCTAAAAATGATCATGACTTGCTCTTAATGAGTTTTGTTCTGTTAAAAACGTGTGAAAAAGATGCTTGGTACAATGTTCACGCAGCTCTTTTATCATACCGTGCAAGTGAATGGAGATGGACGCTGTCGAAAACCAACATTAACGTTTTCTGTAGCCATAAAGCACTGTTAAAATATATGTGCGCGCTACACTGTGAAAAATATTTTTTCAAAGGTGTAAATAAAACGAATGTAATTGGAGTACGTTTTACAGGAAAATATGGTTACTCTTTATTTGGTAACACTTTATTTTAGTGTCTGTTACACATGTTATAGTAATAACAGTAAATAATGCATAATTACAAATAATTAAACCTTAACTATTGTAGTTAATGATTATTACTCAGTATTTAAATTACACTATATAATTGTATAATTATATATATAATTGTATAATTACACTAACACAGACACCTTAAATTAGTGTAACCCTTTATTTTAAGGTGACGTAATTACATTTTACTTTCCCAAATAAGTACTGAGTAATATTAATAAACTACATGTACTTACTATAGTTACAGTTAGGGTTTGGTTTAGGGTTAGTTACTTATGATTATGCATAATTTACAGTTATTACTATTGTACATGTAGTAATGTGTAACTACTTGGGCTGTGCTCAGAATATTGATACAACGTCA